TTTTATTTTTGATACGATGTATTTATACATAATAATATATAAATATATAGTATATAGATAGAGTATTTTGAACAAATACATAAAGAGAAGTATCTAGCTGTTTGAAATAAGTTATTACTATTAGAAACTAAACATCGCAATTAGTCGCAATTCTGTCCTGTTCGAATTTGATTGATTCTATGTGATCTTAGAAGTATAAAAGTTTGCTTGAAAATAGTTTGGATGTATTTTATGAAATGGGAGTGGTATATGATAATTTTATAGTTGAAGTTGTTAAATTTGCTTAGATGATTAATAGATTTTAAATGTAGAGACTGGGTGTAGATGGTAAAGGTGCTCTTTATTTCTTCACATTAGAAATGATGCTTTTACATATAGATATAGGTGTTTTAAGAAGAATCTAAAAATCCTTCCTTGCCTACATCTTTTAGATAATTCTATTTGCTTATATATCTTTTCTCTTCTTCTATATTGTCTGATAAGTTTCTATAATTCTCTATCATCTTATAGAATTCCTTTTTTACCATCTTCTAAAATTTTTTCACAACTTTCTAGATTTTTTTATTTATTTTTATTTTTATAATCTTATAGAATCCTCTACAATGATTAAAAAAAGCCCACTAGTTCAACTCATTGCAAGATTTTTCCATTATATATTAACAATTAGTATTAGATTCTTATTTTATTTTATTTAGCCAACTTAATGTATCATAATAGTAGAGTGTATATACATGCCACAGTCCTAGTTTAGATTTAGTTTACAAAATTCCATACTCCGAGTTTAGATTGATGAAAATGTGGTATTACCATTGACATTCCTGTCAATTTGAGATTTTCATGCTTGGTTATTATCATTATCATGTATATGTATATATATACATATATATGTACATATACATGCGGATCCATTAACGAGCTCGTCCACACAGTGGGTTATCATTCTTTGACATAGCGTACGAGTACTTTAGATATGAACTAAAATTGTTTATACAAATTTTTAAACTCATGCTCTAAAACTAATATAGTAAAGATCATATGGTTTTGGTTTCAGAATGGTATGCGCTGGTATCTGTAAATTTTGGTGCATAATTTTAAATTTGTTGCTAATTTGTAATTTATTTATATCAAACTGTATATAGGGACACATATGTAACTATATTAATTAACAAAAAAAACTATTTTAAATATATACTATAATTTAATTGAATTTTTTTTTATTAATATCAAGTAAGATATTGTTATTTAAAAAATTAAATTAACTTAATATTTAATAAACAAATTTATTAAATAAAATCAATTCATAATTGAAAAAAAAAGTAACATAACAAAATAAATAAAAATAAATTTAATTTAAATATTTTTATTAAGTTGGTGTATTTCAAATAATAAATTTTTAATCTTTGAATATTTTAATTCTAATTTTTTAAAGTTCAGATTCTTTTAGGTTTTTAATTTTTTAATTTGAATAATTATTTTTTGTTGTTTAACTTTTTAATTTTTTTAAAAAAATTTATATTGATACTCATCGTACTGCTTATACCAGCATGTATAACCAATTTTAACTGGTATTTTACCAGTACAAAATTTAGCATGCACTACACTGTTATTTGAGCAGTACAACACACAGTAACATGTACATTCCAATACAGTATATACGTAAAATGAATATAAACATAGTTTTGTATTATATTACTTTGACAACATTATTATCTTCTTAGCTCTCTTGAAGCCGAATGATAGTTTACAGCCATGGAGATTCAGAAAATAATCACATCTAAAAGATTAAGGAGGTGCTGTAGTTCTTATTCATAGCTTTAATTCCTAGAAAATGAAAACCTATTTGATTGAATTTAATAATGTTGTAATATAATACAATGTAATAATTTTGTAATACAATGTAATGTGATTTATCATGTACTTAAAAACTGTAATATGATTGCAGGTTTAATTATAACATGATTACATTGCAATTTTTTTTAGAATGACTATATTACAAATTTAATAGTATAGTTATATAGTAAAAACAAATAAAATAATCAATCTTAATTTACCATTTTCTTATATTACATAGGTTATTAAAGGAAACCAAACATACTATATAAATTACTTACGTTTTTAATCTATCATTATCTTTATAGGTTTTCAACTTATCTCTATTTCATAAGTGAGTAGTTAGAAAAAAGGGCGTGGAATATGAAGAAATTTGAAGAATGTGGTTGCCATGGTTGGTTAGCAGAAAAGTTCATTTCCCTTTTAGAAGCAACAGGAAAAAGACAACAAAGTAAAGTGATTTCAAAGCTTCTTGTATGGTGGTTGAGTGATGTTTGGTATGAATCTGCTTTTACTAAATGATTTGGTAAGTCTGGTGAAGAAGAGAAGTAAATGAGTGAGCCACAAGAAAAGAAATTCATGATTTCTTATACTATATGTTTTTACCCTGTTGAATTTAAAACCTCATGCACAGGACCTGTATACATCACCTGCTAAGAATGTTGAGATTAGGACCTGTCCAGGGCCATGGCTGATGAGGAAAGCATTCATAATCTCACTGCTCCTAGAAACTTGTTGCAAACTGCCTTGCACAATTCACAAGCTATTACCTCTGCACTTGACAAAACTGCACCCAGATTGGAGCGGATTAACCAGAGACTGCCATCTCTCGAAGCATCCTCAGCACATGCATTCGTTGCATTCGTGGACCACATTGATCATGCCATTTCCCTTGCCGCTGCTGTTCTTAAAGTCTTCACTTCTGTCTCTGAACTTTACAAGTCACTCTTGTCACAGCCATATTCCGATCTTTTACCTTATCTCTCTCTCGTTAAACAACTTGAAGAAGCATTAAAGCTCCTCGCTGATAGCTGCAGCCTTGCAATTCAGTGGTTGGAAGACATTGTTCAATTCATACAAGATAGAAGTATAGCAGACGATTGGTATATCTTAAATGTGTACAAGTGCTTAAGAATTTTGGAAGCTTTGCAGGCGATTAGTGGCCAAGCTCGTGTAAATGGAGGATTTCTGGATTCTGCATTTGACAAACTAGAAGTTGAATTTAAGCAATTATTGACAGATGGAGGCATTTGCCCTTCTGTAACTTCTTTGTCATGCTACACCTCAGAGCAAGCTTGCAACAGTCTCGTCTTGCCAGTGACTATTCTGCAGAAGTTGCAACTCATCGTTGAGAGATTAAATGCTAACAACAAGCTAAACAATTGCATATCTCTTTTTGTCCAAGTTCGGAGTTTGAATGCTAGAAAATGTTTAGATGCTTTTGATTTGGATTACCTTGAGAAATCAATCATAGAATTTGACAATATCCAGGACACTGATGATTACCTGGATAAATGGAGTAGGTGTTTCGAGATCGCAATAAAGCATGTTTTCAGGCTTGAGCACAGGCTTTGTGAGGAAGTTTTTAAGAAGGCTGAATCAGATGTTTGGTTAGGTTGTTTTGCAAAGATAGCTTCCCAATCTGGGATTGTTTCTCTTCTCCAATTTGGAACTAATTTCACAAAGGGTAAGAAGGATATAGCTAAGCTTCTGAAGCTGTTAGACATTTTTGCTGTTTTGGATAAGCTTAGAGAAGACTTCAACCATCTTTTTGGCAGCAAAATCTGTGCAGAGATTCAAAGTATGACGAGGGATCTAATTAAGAGAGTTGTCAATGGTGCAAGTGATATTTTCTGG